TACCTTCAAAACTCACTTCTTGGCTTTCTCATTGTCTGCTTTAAACTTTTATACTATTATTCTTCATTCTTTTTTTTGAAACTCTTTCTTTCTCCCTCTTGTGACCTTAGTTTTCCATCTTTATATTTAAAAAAATAATCTTCAGAGACTCCTCAAAGATGCTTTAATTCATATCCTTGGCTTCAACCACCATCCATAATTCCTAAATATATTCCCATCTCTGAGTTCTGTCTTAGGAGTGAGACTCCAAGTGTCAACTCTTTATTCCTACCTGTGGGACCCTAAGCTACTCAAACTTTATAAATCCCAAACCAGGTTCATCCTACTTCTCCCAGAGCCCATTCCTCTAAAGTTACCAGTATTGGTATTACACAATACAATCAGCACACTTATCCTGGTGCCAGGTCTTGGCCTATTCTCCCTGAGCTACAGTTCTGTCTTTCCGAGAGGGCTATTTCCCAGGCTCTCCTGTCAACTGGTTTCTGGCTCAATTGGCCCGTGTGAAGCCCTCACATATTGGAGGGTGATAGGAAAGGAGAAACTAAGGCATTAGCATACATATACCCTGCCAGACTCTATGAAACAGCCTCCCTCTTTCTCACCTCTCCTCTCCATCCCCCCTGCCATTGACTTACATTGAGTCCTCATTTTTCTCTTACATTTTGGTAATAGAATTTTAAGCTTATACCTCACCTAGTACATTCTCTACATTGTTGCAAAATGAGCTAAGGTGATAGTAAGATATTTATGACCCATTTAAGCTAACATTGATAGCCATTTTCAAAAGAAAATCAGCTTAAGGAGCTCCTTTAGAGTAGTTCACCATGCCTTGCATGTGCTTGTGTGTGTTAGTCATGACTGATTGGTCCAAGGATGCCACCTAATCTGAAGGTACATGGACCTAATATGTGACCTTTCATTGTTTTGAAATCTATTTATTTGCCATTTTTTTCTCATTATACTAAGCAACCACAGGACTAAGATTCTAAGTAGTTCATTCTTGTGTGGTCCTGCTTGAAATACACAGAAGGTCTGTAAGAAATTAAAACATTAATTGTAGGAAACTTTGTCCAATTCGTGGGAGACCTCAATGGGCAATGTTGAGTGATGGAAAGAAAACTGGAGTTAAGTTATGGCTCTGATTATTTGCATAGTCACAAAACATCTCAACCTCTGTGCCTAATTTTTCACACCTGAAATGTAGTTAGATGTTTAAGGGTTCAGCCCAGTAACTTCTATGTTCCTTTGCAGTGCTGTTAGTACCCATCAAGTCTGGCTTTTATTTGCACCTCATCTCCACCTCACCCATAGCCAAGGGTAAAGCAACAGGCTGCCTTGGAGGCATTACACATCTGGCTAGAAGACCGGTGACCAGGATTCTAATTATTTCTTGTTGCTTAATTTTGTGGAATGGAGAAGAGGTTTTTCGTTTAATGTTGCACAGAACACTTTTTGCATAATCAAGGTAAGCTTCAGGATGTAGATAATATAGGCCATATCAGTCTGAAAAAAAGATCCATATAAAGTTTTAATTTCAAATATAGAGGACAGCATGTAAAATTGATTTTATTTAACATACAGGTATATATACACCAAATATAAAACCAGTTGAACTAATAGGTTTATGTTGGGTAAAACTTTCTCAATAGAGCATATAAAACAGAAAATTGGCAACTATCATTTCTTATATGCTTCTCACCTATAATAAGAGTTTGTCCTTGGTATGTGATATTACAGGAAAACATTTTTTCTATTTGACAGTAGTCTTATGAAATGGAAAATAGAAAAATAAGAAATATATCCATATTCTGAAAAGCTAAGTTTTTAAATTACAAACTCTTATATATTTGCTTGTCCTTAGAACTATATCTGGCAGAACATATATCTGGAATATCCAGTATACACACAGCCACCATATTTATTTTTCAGGAACCAACTTTCCGATGTAAATGACACATGACTCTTCTCTGATACCCCACCAAGAGTTATTCAAACATTAAGGATTTGGCTGAAGTCTTTGGACACTTTCTCGACATGTTTGCTCTCCACCCTCACAATTACAGGCCTTTATTTGAAAGACTTAGAACCACACCTAGTATCCTAATAGGTGCTCTTGTCCTGTCTTGCCTCATGCTCCCATCTTTCCTTCATACTTTTGGGAGTTACTTTTCTGAACCCCAAATCTCCATTGCCTTTCATAAAGTCCACATTTTTTGGTCTACACACAAGACTTGTACCACTTGGTTACTTTTTTCTTTTCCCACATCTCTCATCAGCCTTGCTCTGCTCTAGCCTCTGAACCACTTGTGTTTGCTCAAATGTGCTTGCAGTTTCATGCTTTCAGTACAGTCAACTTTTATGCATACATCCTTAAGACAATAGCAGAGTACCTCACACTTATGTGCCAGGCATGCTGTGGACAGTTTTCATGCATTTTCTCATATGTAAAATGTTCTGCCAAATCTATGTCTTGAAAAACATCAGTTTTTCATCTCAATACACAATCCCTATAATTTTGGCCTTATAGTTAAAACTAACCACTTCTTTTTCTGTGCCTTCAGTCAGCTCTATTGTATCATCTATACCCATGTGGCCATTAACTTTAAGGAAAAGATCCATGTCTCGCTGACCTTTTCATCCCTAACACCTGCACAATACCGACTCACGCATTATTTCATCTTAGTCCCAGTAGTCCTATTTGTCCTTCATCTGGATATGGCAAGGAACGAAATAAGCAATAAGAAGCTACTTGATTACCATTTCATAAAAGTTTAGAAATGCATAGGTTCATATATGGCAGGATCACAAGGATCAACCTTAACTGGTGATGCTGTCTTGAAATTCATTACAAGACACATTAATAGTGCAGTATTTCTTCCACAACCACAATCAGGGAGATTTGCATCTTTTTCTATCTAGTTAAGCAACTAATCAAGCTGAGCCAACAAAACAAAAACTCTCCTTTTCTCCGAAGTTCAACAAAGTCTAGTGTTGCAGAACATTTAGTAAATAAAACCTCCCTCCAGATCCCTCTTCTCCTAAGTAGTGAAACAACACATCAGTGATAAGATCACCTCTTATATTTCTCACCTTAATGCTAGCATTGCCTCCTTCAGAGAGATTTGACAATTTAATGTCTTCTTCCCGTGTTCCCATAGCACTGTATACACTTTAATATGGTTAGAATGATTCAATCTAGACCATGAAATTGAAACAGGTCAGTCCCTGGCATATAGTGAGCACTCAAATGAAAGATAAATTGACTCTTGCTTTAAGAATATGAAGTGAGTCAAGACTAATTATGTTCATTCCAACTTTAAGTACTTCCCTTGGTATCTAACCAGAGATCATTATCTTTGAACACAGATTTAACATCAGACAGTGGCTTTTGTGACTTGGTTGCTTTTATGCATACATGAAATAACTTTTTAAGTGGTCAGACATGCCCATGGAACAACTTTATTGTGTAGTATTGCCATTTCATGTTTTAATTATTTAAAATATTTAAATGATTAAACACAAAATTAAACTCCAACTGGATTTATTGTGGGTAAATTAGTGGTGATAAAATATCAGTTACTAAAATCTGCTCTTAAATTTGGTCTGGTTGGATTATTGAGTGACTCATCCCATGTCCTCATACCACTCATTATGTGACTTATTTTGTGATTCTTGGTAGTTTATGAAGTAACTAATACTTGAAATACAAGTATAGCTTTTGACTTTATTTTAGAATTTGTTAATTTTGGTTAAAGTACTTGAATGCTTGCTTTAACACCACTACATCTCAATTCAAATATTAAAACAGCCTTGGTATAATCAATTTACATGTTTGGCAGTACTAAGACACAAATTATCCCTAACACTTCTTCCCTTGGGTCCTACTTGTTTGGGGCTTATATGCTGCTATGGCATTCTTCTTTTAAGGATGCAGGCTATACTTGGCAATGAAATTGGGGGGGGAGGTCTAGAAAGCAAGCTGAGGGCTTTTAAAAATTATAAAGTACATTAGTAAGTGCTCTAAAAGCTAAACCATCCAAAGTAATATATGCAAGTTACACCACAGGCAAAGGCATAAGAAAATGGATTAAATTAGTTGTAATATTCACCTCTACACATGCTCCATAGTAACCACAAAGGTATAATAATAAACTAGTCAAAAAACAAACTTAATTTCTCATCAGTTTGCATGTACGTGGTTATCTGCATATTTAATTGGTACATATACATTCCAAGTATCCAAATTATTGCAATCCTATATCCATTTACCTCTTAGAGTCCTTTAAAGTGATCACAGTGACATGTCAAAGGCGGAGGGGGAAGAATGCTAGGATTCCTATTAAGTAAAGCTACATCAAATTGTTCAACTGATGCTACAGAAGCTATTTCTGCAGGAAAACACAGATTTCCATAGTTCTAGTCAGTTATTTTATCAGTAAACCTTAATTTTGCTAATATGATTTTAGGTAATGAAATATTCTAGACTCATTGGTAATTATAATATGTAAAAGATTGAGAATTTCTTTTTAGGCCAATCAGCAAGCATGTTTTCATCTAAACAAGGGAAATTCTTTCAGTTTAATATATAAGTTTTTCAATGAATAAATTTACAATAAAGTTGAGGACCTCATTCAATAAGTCTTCTGATCTTCAGATTCTGGCCTATCGAAGAAGAACAGTGATTACAGGAGAAAGAAAAAAAAACTATCTCCTGTAGCCATCATCTTAGAGGCTGGTTTTCTTGTAATGATGAAGTCTATCACAGTTGTCAGGTTTCCAAGATTTGCACAGAGCTTCAAAATGGAACTGCCTGAGGAAGATTCAGAAAGCCTCGTTCTTGGGCTTACACAGTAAGCACTTTGTGTGATTCTTAATCACATTTTATCCAGAACACAATGTTTCAGGTCACATGTTTCTGGACCATGCTTATAATGATTTGTGCTCTCTATATAAAAACATATTTACACACAGAATACACACACTGACATGAGGATGAGACATTAGCCAGCCATCCATAAGCAGAATGGAATAAGGATAGCTGGAAGAGTAGTATATGATGCCATGCCCAGGCAGGTGATGGCCGCCAATCCCAAGAGTGCCGAAGCAAGAACACTTCTCTGATCACGAATAATTATCTTCAAATTCTCACAAAACTAGAAAATAAAATTTAAGAACATCAGAAAAGGTGGTTAAGCCTAAGAAGAATCATATATACAAAATAATAAAGCACAATTTCCCAGGCTATTTTCTGTCTACCAGAGAAACTAGAATTTCTCTTACGACTTAGGAAAGAAGTTAGATGTTGAGAGGTCAGTTTTTTATTCCACATCCTGTAACAGCCTGCTGAAATAATACCTCTGGCAAATAGGTTACCAATGACGGTTGCCTATATAAACACAGAATTTTTATTGAAAACTATAGAGAATGGAATCCCATAAAAGTTCAGGATTAAATGTTAAAAGCATTAAACTGTTTATCAATAACAATATATTCTAAAACTACCCTGTTTCCCCGAAAATAAGACAGTGTCTTATATTAATTTTTTTCTCCCAAAGTTGCGCTAGGTCTTATTTTCAGGGGATGTCTTATCTTTCCATGCACTAGTTCTTATTTTTGGAGGATGTCTTATTTTCGGGGAATTACGGTAGATGAGCAAAGAGATCTCTAATGTCAAATAATAAATTGTCCTTTATTATTGATGAATTCAATTCATTCAATGAACCATTCTAAAATTTGGTGATATAATAACTTTTAAGTTTCTAACTGGAAATTAAGAGACAACTTTGTAATTCTCATGTTAACCTGGTAATAGTTTTACATATGGAGAATTCAAAAAATGAGATTCAGAACCATGTAATTCCTCATTGTTTCTGGAAAGTCTATATTCAGAACCATGTAATTCCTCATTGTTTCTGAAAAGTAGAAATCGGTCCTCCTTCAGCATTAATGACCTAGTTTCTCACAGAGGATGTCCAACAAGCAGTTCTGAGAACTGGAAAAATTGGGATGGGGATTTCTCCCCCCTGGGAAGTCTATTCTGTGGCCAGATTGTTAGACCATTCAACTTGAAGACAATATCTCAAGTTTCACAAGAGGTGCTATGCAGCAACAGCAATTAAAATCCTTCTCTACTTCTGTAAAACCCTACAAAGTTTCCAAAGATGAAAAACTACTCCAACTACTTACGTATGCAGATTAAATATTTACTCCTTTAAAAAAGTACTTACACTGTTTGTGTTGTTTTTTGTAGAAATATATAATACAGAACTATATGTATGCCATCAAAGGGTAACTTCTTAATACCCAATGGAAATACTATTTTCCTTGGAGAAATAATTTGCTTGGATCCTAAGTAAATCTGATGTGTTTTCTTTTGAGTACTTTGGAGCCCCTGTTTGTAAATGTGGTGAAGTTCATTTCTAAACAGGCCTAGAGCTGTGATTCTTGAAAAAAGCATTCCTACAAAAGCATTCCTAGATTGAGTCTTTGTGCCTTCATAAATAACCACAAGGAGTTTGATGCATCCATATATATAAAAGCATAATACTTTCATGCTCTGCCACAGAGGAAAGATTCTCCCACATGGGTTAAAAAAATAATCAAAATATGGAGCAATAAAAATATTGGTTATATAGACTCAGATTCTTTTGGTCCAAAAAATATATAAATGTGAAGAAGAGTCAACCATGAAGGTCATTTTGCGATTATATAGCTTCTGTTGTTAAGCTTGAACATTAACACTAATTTAACAACTTAGGGGCAGGCTGAGAAAGCTAATTGCAAATGACATTGCAAGCATTTTAAAAAAAAAATGTTAGCTATTTTTAAAATTTAAGAGATTTGGTGAAAGGAACTACAAATTCATATGCATACTCCCATCATACCCCCCTTTGGATTGATGGCTAATTTAACCATCTTAAATTCTGATATTGTTTTTGTTTGTTTTGTTTGTTTTACTTCACACATTAAAATTGCCTTCCACCAGCCAATGGCGCTTCTTGAAAACCCACCTTTGGGTCTAATGGGTAAAGGATGCTTAACAATAAGGGAGTCTAAATTGGAATTAAAGCCAACATAAAAACTTCAAAATACCCTGAAAAAGACACGTCTAAAGTCCACACAGGAGTAAGAGATATACCAGGGAGGTCTTCTTAACTGGGTAGTTTGTTAGTTTATATTAAGCAAAGGGAATTCACTCTGCAGTAACTTACAGAGGGAGAATGCTGCGAGCTTCCTTAGTGTAAATGCACAACACTTTGTACACAGTGTTACGGATTAAATATAAACTCTGGACACCTTCCTGCCAATTGAAATTCTTGGGGAAAGTTGCGAGCGCTCGGCGGACTTTGTCATTTCAACTAGGCTGGGTGGACACCCTGATGACTTCTGTAGCAATAACCGGGCGGCTCTCCCATAGCGGGCAGCGGTGCTGCACTGCCATACTCCACTGCGCCTTGTGAGATGTCCTGCAAGACACATCGCCAGGTACTTACATTGTCTCCCTTAGGAAACACCAGAGCCTTTGTTCCTCTAAGCTCAACGCCTGGTCCCAGGGGAGAGAAATGGTCAGGAAGGGATGGGAGTGGGGGCGGCCCCGCCCAGCCCACCGGTGAGTGACCACCAGCTGTACCTTGTCTGCCTGGGGGCTGACCCCGGCGCCGAATCTGCAGTAAGTCACAAAGTGCTCGCAGTTGTTCCACAGCAGGCTGTAGGGGGTGATGCCCAGCAGCTTCTCTGCTCTCTGAGCCACCTCTTCGTTGGGCAGGGCCTTCCTCTGGAGGGACTTGTCCAGGTGATTGACCAGGATCTCCGCCCCGTAGGCGAAGTCGTCCACGGTGTCCACGCGGATGCTCGCCACCCTGCCGATGACGCCCAGGAGGAGACGCTTGTTGGAGACCACCTTCTGCGTGAGCCTCTTGTCCTTGGTGAGAGCCAGGAGGATGTCGGGCATCATGTGGGCGACACGGTTGTCGCCCAGGTAGATGCCATAATGGGTCAGGTGGGTCCGGGGCACCTCCAGGACGTCGCCGCGGCGGAAGGAGCTGAGCTCGTGGGAACTGCTCCTTGCCCTGTCTTCCCCCGGGGCGTCCGGACTGAAGAGCTTGAAGTTGGAGATGAGGAGCAATTTCTCCAGCAGGAGGGACACCGCCTCTAGCATTGGGTTCTTCATCCTGCAGCGAGATGAAGAGTCTTGGGGCAGGGGACTGCCGCCGCTCGGGCGAGGTGAGCCGGCGAGACTCACCTGCGGCCGGCGGACCAGCGCCGCGGGGGAAGGCGACAGCGACAGCCGAGGGGGCCGGGGGAGGCGAAAGGAAAGGGGGAGATTCCTAGGGGGAGCACTGCTCTGGGGCTGAGGCGGGTGAGGAACTTGGGGACAGTGAGACCAGCGCTGCGAGCAGCGAGCACGGAGCGCACCCGGACTCCGCGGCGGGCGTGCCGGGCGCGGGCGGCGCGCCAATCAGCACCGCTGGCGGCGCGCAGGCCTTTTATCGCCGCTCAGGGGGCGGGGCGAACGCCGTCACAGACCCGGCGAGAGCGCTGATTGGGCGCCGGTGGCCAGCGCCGCTGGGAGTGGGGCGCGTGGGACCCTAATTCTTTCCAAGCGGGCACGCCGCCTCGGGATTCCGGGCTTTTGCACTTAGACAGGCTCCCCCTCGCACTCACGACCCGAGTATTTCGGCTTTTACGCGGGCGTTTTGGACTGTAAAGGCGCAGGCGTGGCCGCGCGACAGGGTCTGCACCCGTCGGGGTACTTAGGAAAGGTTTTCGGTGGAGGGTCCCTTCGGGCGATATTTTTATCTTCCCAACGGGTTGGATACCCCGAAACTCCGGTGAAGTGTTTGCATGGACTCCACGAAATGTGCGCGCCTCGAAAGCCTGCGCATTCCTTCCTACACCCCGGGAGGGACCATAGTCCCTCCCGCCCGCCAAGAGCTTCCTCACCTTTAAATGCCGGCGGCCGGGGTGGCGACCAGCGCGTCCAGGCGCCGCGCGCCCCGATCGGAACTCCAGGCGCCTCCGCGCTCCGAGGCGCCGGTGACAGTTGAGCGCGCGGCTCCAACGGTCAGTGTGGAAAACGGCGAAGCCCCTAAGGTTTTCCTGGAGAGCAGGGGTCACGCCAAGTTTATTTCTCCGGCTGCAAGGTTGCAGAGACCTAGCTTCGGTTCACACGCTCCAACTTTGCCGCTTTCTTTCCCAGCGAAGCCGTCCAGAGGGGGCCCAGCGAGGACGAGGCGCTGGGCTCCTTGCTGAGCGCCCGCAGGGTGACCCAGGTGCTTGGGGAGAGTGGACCCGGAGCAGCGGTCCCCGGACGGCAGGCTGGGCAGGCAGGGGTCCCCACTCTGCGCAGAGTTCCATGCCAGCGACTTTCAACCTTCATCTCATGGCACCTATAAACTATTTACTAAAATTCTGCAACATACCACAAATTTTTTTTTGCCCATCTGACCAAAAAGGTATATTTTTTATTCCTTCACACTGGACAGCTATTGTTGTGTTTCATTTTTTTCATTTGACAACCTAAGAGAAAATAAATCAATGTCCTTGACTAAATAGTCAGGTATTGCATATTTTTTAAGCACGGTATAATCAATGCAAAAACATCCATGTCAGAAGTTTTGATTAAAAATTCACAATTTACCCAGTGTTTAAAAAAATAAAAATTACATATATTTGTACATACGTATATATAATGTGTATGTATATAGTTAAGTGTACACATTGTTTTTCTTCACTGATACAGAGAGATGGACACTCACTCTACCAGCTCATGAATCATGGCAGAACAGACATGTGCTGAGTGTGGTTATCATATAGGAGACATTGTGAAGGTACTGTAAGCAAAATCATCGTGTTCTATATTATAACTGTGGTCCAGGGAACCAGGTATCAACATAAGGCCAAGAATATCTGTACAGGATTTCATTAATCTCAGTGTTTGAGTGACAGGTTATACCCTAATGCAGCAGGACCTATTCCAAGCCCATTGAGAGCTAAACAATGGCTTTGGATTTCAGGTCCCCGAGTTTCACCCTCCATTTTGTTTTTCCTGGAAAGAGCTGATGTACACAACACCCTGTTCTAAGCTCCACCATGCTTTCCAAGAAACAAGCAGCACCAGGAATTATATCTCGTTCATCCTTGCTCCGGCTACGGTGGTGGACAGCAAGGCCTCTTGTCTGCTTTGACCTTCCATTCACAAGTATCCCCATTTCCAGCCATGGGTCCCCACAACTTCACATTTGATTTGAAGAATTCCCCCTGAACCTTTTTCCACAACAGAATGGCACAAGTGTCCATACTGTTTCTGATAGAGTGGCTGTGGGAGAATCAAAGAAAATGCTAATATATTGTACCCACCGCTGGTTGGAAATTATCTTCATTTCTGTTTGGACTGGGCTGTTTAGAAAAATGTTAATGCCTTACAATTCTGGGAAATTTATAGTGTGGCTCTGGGTGAATTCTGTGGTTTAAAAACATTTTATACTGATTTCCACATGTTATTTTAATGTTGTGATTATGTACTAATTGAAATAAGAGTGTGGATATTCTCTTTGAAAGGTATGTTTGGTTAAATGGTATTACATGTTTTAAAAAATCTTGCTTCACACCGAGGTACCCCTTGCTGCACAGGTTGAAAATCTCTACATTATGCAAATACCTCCGAGACCAGGGCCACAATGGAGAACCCCTGCTAGGCTCCACTAAACCGCTCAGTATGGGGCTAATTGGTTTCATCAACTAGCAAATCCTCCTCTCTCCTGCGGAGGGGGCTCACTGGAGGGCCATTCATCTTACCTGGAACTGCAGGGAGGAGGCCCACCCCAGCTCTGCCATCAACGCTGGGTCCCAGTCGTCCCCTTGCCGATGACTTTTGTTCATTTCGCAAAAGATCCTGAATCACATTACAATCTCATCAAAGAGAAGAAAATTCCATTTCCCACCAACGAAATGAAAGAAAAGGGTGGAAGAAGGGGAGAGAGGCAGTGGACATGGACATTTAAAATAACCTTTTTTTACCCCAGTATTTCCCCTACATTTAAAAAAAAAAAAAAAAAAAGTCGCCGAAACTAGTTTGGCTCAGTGGATAGAGCATCAGCCTGAGGACTGAAAGGTCCCAGGTTTGAGTCTGGTCAAGGGCATGTACATTGGTTGCGGACACATAGTGGGGGGTGTGTAGGAGGCGGCTAGATGATGTTTCTCTCTCATTGGTGTTTCTAGCTCTCTATCCCTCTCTCTTCCTCTCTGTAAAAAGATCAATAAAATATATATTTAAAATAATAATAAAAATAAAGTGTCAAACTGTGGAGTTGCTGAAACAAATCAAATCCCTCTGCACCAGGGCACTTGCTAGCTTGCAGCAGCACACCAGCTCCGCTGTAGGTCTGAAATCTGAGTGCATTTTTACAGTTTGATCAAGACCCCACGGACACGGTACTGCAGACCCCACGTCGGGCTCTTGGACTCTGGACAGGACAGGACAGTGGGCTCCACTTTGAGAAAGCGCCGAGATCTGGATCCCCTTTAAGGTTAAGAGCCAAACGGGTTGGGGAGATTTACAAAAGGACTTGTTAATTAGCAATTTCCGTCTCTGGGGGTCACTAACTGGTTTAGCACTGTAATACACACACACACACACACACACACACACACACACACACACACACACAGCATATCCAGTACTGGAGGGGGAAGGGAGGAGTGTTAATCCCCTTGGAGGGACAATGCTGCGATTTCTCCGGGTGTGAAGCTGCAGCTTCCTGGTGATGCAAAGAGGCCTCCTCAGCTTCCCAGCAAAATGTGTTCAACAATTTCTGACTTCTTTTTGCTCTCTTCCTTCCAATAACTAGCTAAGGATGGTAACAGGTACACAAATAGATAAAGTAAGATCTCTAGAAAGGAGTCTGGCTAAGAGATAAGAGACTTGGGAGTCAAAAATGTCTGGGTTGCTGGCTCAGACCTTGGGAGTAGATGAAACTGCATAAGGACAGCACAGAGAATGGGAAGAGAAGGCAACCAGAACAAAGCTTCACATAAAGGCTAAGGAGTTGCGAAAGTGCTTGAGGAGGAATGAGAGGAAGTGCTTGAGGAAGACAGTTGTACTAAGAGGGCATGTTCAATAGTGTCAAATTCAGACAAGCTAGCAAGAGGGTCGAGGGACAGATAGATTAGGCAATAGGAAAGGTGCCAGAGCCAATTTGCTGAGGTTGACAGAGTAAGAGTCAGGCAAAGGGAAGGTCTAGACAAAGTGGAGAAAAGTGAACAAGTTTTGCAGTAAAGGAAAGGAGAGGGGATCAAATGAAAAATGTCTTGTCGTTCATTTGCTTTTTGTTAGATTTAAATGGGATCACATGAGAATATATGTATATAGAGGGAAACTAGGGGAGAAGAGAAATATATAGTAAAGAAAAATAGGATAGCTGATGGAAGTTAGTCTCAGAAGAGATAGGAAGCAGAGTCATCAAAACTGCAGGTAGAGAGTTAGGACTGGGGAGGAGTAAGGACTTTTGTTCCTCTAAGACAGGAAAGGAGAAAGCAGATACAAAGTGTAGCTCTAGAAACTTTTGGAAGTTGTAAAAAAAGATTGTCCTGCCTTTAGTTTGTGCTGCAGACTCTAAAGATAACTCCCAAACTCAGCCAGCTGGCAAAGTTCGCATAGGTTCCTCAAGAAATTCATGCATGTACTAGTATATTGATCATTTGCTTATGTAAAATTCTAAACAAACAAAGAGTTTTTATTCCATTCCTATTCGGAGCATTTATTTACATTAAATTTTACATGCATGTTCCTAGAAGCTTGATCTTTTTCTTCTTCATTTGTTATGTGACAATAGGCTCTCACTTAGTGATGCCAATCTCTAGTATTACATTAAGGATGGGGTGGGGTGCTCATAAGGGTATCTAGGCTCATCAGAGTAATTCATTAAAAACTGTAATCATATTTTTATTATATCAACTCACTGGAAAATCATCACCATACTATTTACCATGGAAAGAAAATAATGATAGTTAATTAAAAGTGGTTAAATGTCACCTGGACTAACATTTGAAAATTAGTTGTATAGCAAACTTTGAATTTAATTTGAGTTCAAAGTATTAGGGCATCGTGTCATTAATTATTCAAACTTTTTATTACTGAGGCTAAAATATTCAAATATTTTCTATTTTTCCTAATTCAGTGTGAGAATACTGCAGATGCGTTAACATTTTCTAACTAATTAATAGACTGCTTCTTTGAACCTGAACTTAATCTGTGTGCTTATGCATAAAAATTGTTTAGAATAGGCAATAGGATTTTTAAAAACATTTAAAAAGAAAGTAAGATGCTCTTCAAACACATAACAAGATTATCCCAACTTGGAATTGGGGATCAGAGATATTCTAAAAGTGAGTATGTCATTAAACAAATCACAATTTATCAAGTTTTTAAAGTAGATGCTTGATAGAAAAAAAAATCATCAAATGCCTAAAGGATATATCTATCACTTCTCATTTCTGTCTTGCATATGTCTTTGGTGTTTATAATTCTATATTGGTTAAAAATCACCTATTCTCTTCTTCCTTATAGTGACTACATTTTTAATACTGGCATTCAATTTATCTAGTTGGTGTTTGCTTCAATGCATATTTCCTATATTCTTTTACCTCCTATTCAGTTTTGCATTTGTACTAAGAATAGGTTTCCCAAAGCAGGATCTCTTTCAGCCACCTACTAATGACTTTAAATCAGGAACATTTTTTATCTGGATGTCCAGTACCATCTGTCCAAATGCTTTGCCCTGTTGAACAAATCAAACAGAAAAATACTGAGTGTGAAAAGAATTCTATTATTGTTATTAATGTTAATATCACACATTTAAAAAAGTGATTACTATATAATTTTGGTAAATAAGATTTTACTTGAAACTAGTGGCCTGGTGCATGAATTCATGCACATTGAAAGAAAATTAATTCGAAGAAATATTTTAATATTGCTATTTGCCCTTTCTCTATAAGTGTCAGAGATGAAAATAAAGTTAGTAAAATGTATATGAAAATAACATATAAATTGATTAATAAACAATAACAGCCACAAAGACATGACATAATAACAACACTGATAAAAACAATGACTGATAAATTGATTAAACTTATTCTAACACTGAGGCCAGTGTCAGATGGGGACAAATCAATTCTTGGAATCAGAACAACCTCTCCTCCACAGATCCTGTTAATATTTCAGCTTTGATTATGTTAGGTTGCAATGTTTTAATAATAAATCTAGTACCATTACAAAGATGCCACTATTAAGATTTCTCAGTAACATGTTGACTGCATCTACTTTCAATTCTAATTTATGACACAGCATTCCCAAAGGAGTAATACTTTTAAGAAATCCAATGGGAAATTTTTCCTTTTTGGCATCAACCTTTAATCTGGTATTACTGTCAATTACATTGTTGTCTCTGAGTCTTAATACAATATCTATTCCCCAGCCTTTTCACCATGTGGGAAAAGAATAGGATATTGCAGCTCATATGGGAAACAGGATACTGATTTGTTTCATTTTAGTTGCTTTTGAATTATTGGGATTGGTTTACAATGAATGAGCAAGTCCCTTTCAAAAGGAGGTCCTCTATCTTTGTTTCTGAATATGACTACAACTTCGGTTACACGGGGATAATTATATCTACCCAATCACTATTTTGATCATATTTAATCACTATTGTTACTTCTGTGCAACGCTGCTGCTTTCTTTCAGCTTCAGAATGTCAACAAAAACAACCAAATTCATGATTGACAATGACAGATCGAAATACATGCCTGCAATTGGCGCCAGTGAGAACTTTATATGTATTGCTCATGTGAGAGTCAACTTAACCTTTTATAGTTATAGAACAAACTTGCTTAATTAGACCTGCTTTCTGATGTAGATAAACTTTTCCCAGCCCTGTGAAGCACCCAACTTCTCTTTCAGGTAATTGTCAGTAACACAGCAGTAAATATCAACACAAAGCACATTATTATTGTAGATCACACAGGGAGAACAAAGGGTAAAATATTTAACTGCAGCAGTGTTTGACTATATTCTGTGCAGTGAGAAAACCTGAAGTCATTCTCATGGCCCACCATTTCTTACTTCTTTAGAATCAGGTCAAATTTCTAAGCTTCCTAAATCTCTGGATTTTGGCTAATGAAAAGAAAACAGAATTCCACTGAGTCTCCTATCTACCTACACCAAGACTTCTGTGAGGATCAAATGAGATGAGGCAAGGGAAAAACTTCACAGACATTTTATTACAGTGTAAAGTGTTCCCACCTGAAGCTAGTCATTGCTAGGTAGAGGAAGCCAGTTGGACACTAATCATAATAGCTTTTCATATAGATAGATAATGACAAATTTAAAAACCACATACTGAAGGAACACAGTTACAAGTAAAATGTATAAGCAGCTAATGAATTCTATGTGAAGAACAAAATGTGAAAGGCTAATGTGTACCAAGGTTATACAGTTCCCAAATCAGAAACTCTCAATGTTTATATGGGAATGTACTAGTTAATAAGAATATGATAGAAAAAAAAAATAAGGTGATAAGAATCATAGAGCAAAATAAACAGGAAAACATCAAAGTAAATTGAACATATAAAGGAACTGAAGTATCTCTTTCCTGCTAGTGATTTCATTTAATCAATGATGCCTATAGGCTATTGGCTTAGATAAGACAAATAGCTGAAGAGTGAGATATTTTTATCAACTTTACAATTCTTTTCTTATCTAGTGGCTACTGTATAGTTTAGGATGACTTAATGAGTTTCAGATGATTCAAAGGATAGGTTAAATAACAGGCTATATTGAAGTGTAAGGGATGCAGTGGACTGAGTTAAGTTACTAAGTTACTAATTTTAGTTCCTTCCTAGGATGACCCAGATAAATTTTAACCCAATTCCATAGTAGTACCTGGCTTCAGCTATTTCTGGGCCATGATAGAAAGATAACTTTCTTTACTTCAAATAATGGCTCTCCTTAAACTATAGAATGCCAAATAATCTTTAGCTTCGAAATCAGGTCATAAACTACTTTCTTAAATGTCGAGATACTAAGTGTTCTCTCTTTCTATATGATCTTCAGATCCTCTACAGACATATTCATTAAAATGAATATAATGATGTTTTACTAGAAAGTTATCCAAAAATATTTTACTCTTCTTTGCTTCCTCCTTCTGAACTGAGAGCTCTGTAGTATTAGTGTATGTGCTATGGTTCATTGGATGCTGTTGATACAGCCTATGTCAACTCAACATAGAAAACAGACACAAAGAAAATGTTCAATGTTTAGATGCTTACCTGGGGGTCACTTCGCAAGGAGGCAGTGCCTCCACCACCGAGGGAATTTTTTAAAACAAAATTTAATGCATATATTCCTGGCAAATCATATCTATGGAATTAAGAAAAGAAAGATGAATTCTAACAGTAGATTTAGTCATAGTTTCTTCCAGCCACCATCCTTACAGTTACTGGCTAGCCCTCCCATGTATTGGCAATGGCATTGATACCTTTCACACCAGTAATGGGCTTCCACCAAACCTAAACTGACTATTCCCCTTGTCACTGACAATTGGTGTGAAAAAGCCTAATACCAAGGTACAACTTGTATTTTAACCCACAGAAACATCCTTCCAGTTTCCTTGCTTCAGGTTCAGCACTAGCACTAGCACACGGCTAGAATTCAATTTGCCAGGACACAAAACTGGTGGTGAAAAGGAAGAAGTCCACACATAGCTTGTATTGTGTTAATCATGAGGCTGGTATTAGAAAGTATTTTTTTTAGGGTTTGTTTTTTATTTGTTTTTGTTTTTTGGCTTCAAGCAGTATTAGTCTTTGATCATGGGCTTAACCATATACCACAAAGTATGTACTGATGCCAGAATATCTCAATAGACAGTTCATAAGAGTGTTCACAGGGAAGATTTACTAATGATCATAAGACAAATTTATATCGTAACTTCTATCTGGTGATCAATGTACTTAGAGCATGGGAAAATATGCATACAAACACACACACTAATGGAATTGTTATTTATACACACACACACACACACATACACACACACATGCACTATATACACATGGTTTATATACACACTTATGCATGAAAATACTTAAAAGAAGATCAACACTGTCCAGGGCAGTGTGAAACAGCGTATTTGGACCAAGATGTGCATCTGTGAAGGGAGGAGAGGCAGAAATGGGGAAATTAAATGAAAAGGGAAAACTAGCTGAATTGCTTGGATAGATGTATTGTCATCTAGTAACAAATTATTTTCCTTCAGTTATATTATTTTAAAACAAGTTTAGTTAATTTCTTGAATTATAACATGGAAACAAATGAATGTAATTAAAACTTTGCAATGATGTATAAAAACAATATGGAAATAGAGTAATTATCCTGATTGGTTGTATAGGCACAAATATGAGTTTATACATCCAACATTTGTTCTAGAATAAGGACTGATAGAAGACAATCTTTCATTTTGTTTTGACATCTTCATGCAGCATATATTGTGTCAATTTTAAGACTAGTATCAGGAAAAATTTTTTCCTCTTAAACATTTTACCTTCAAGGAACTGAAACAACTAGCCTTTGTTTTTCCCCCACTGTACAATTTCAGCGACCAATTTTATATACTATTAAGTACATTCATTATTACTCAAATTAAAGCCATGTTTAAGAGCAATTTCTACATGTGTTATTTCAAGCAAAGATTAATTTTCAATAAGAAAACCTGCCCTAGGTTACTATTTCCTTTGTAAGTTGATGACTATTAATAATATAAATTTGACCCATTTTTTTCCCTTGTACATATAACCAAGTGTAATGTGGGCTTAGCGAGGAAATAGAAAATTATATGAGAACTGTTGTCAATCATACTTTTGTAATTACTGCAACTATATTCAAAACAGAAAAGTCTGCTCATAAGTTTCAAGTGATAACAGTATTCTCCCCAGACTTTCGCATTCTTTGCTTGAGTTACTAGTCAAGGATTTCTGCCCTGCTGTGCAGCAGCATATATACCAGTCTTCCATGAAAATCTAGGGCAGGGTCCTAGATTATATAAGGTCCTTCAGGAGCTCAAAGAAAAATGAAATGTTGGCCAAGATTGATTCATATTATTTAAAGTTGAATCACTTTAAGCATATCAGTGCTAGATCAGGATAAAGCCCAAACCAGATACCCCGTACAACCCATTATACCTTGGAAGTGTTAGTGTCAAAGTCTGCAAGAAGAAATAATGCAAGGGAGAGTGACCCCTGACTGCAGAGAGGAAGGCTGACAGCCATTCCCTTGTGGAGGTCAGGTGATGGAGAGATCAAGAGCACAGACTTGTGAGGCCCAAGCCTACTTGGGTTTGAATCCTGGTTCAACTACTGTGAATTTAGGTAAATTATCTCATTACTGTATGCTCTAGGATAATAGTTGTGAGAAAAAATAAGTGAAAAATTAAGTGCTGAAAAACCCTGAGTGGTTTAGATAAACTTTCAATAAATAATACCTAGTGAATGAATTGATAAAGCTCAATATGTGCTAATGAGGTCCTTCTACTTGCAGACCATTGTGTTTGGACCTAGATGCTACTACCTACATGGATATTTAATATGGTTGATGGGAAATTACCTGATAAGCTTTTTAAAAAAAATGGATTCAGTGACCATTTTATTTGCCAAGCAGATTATGTCCTATGTGCTCACTTTTAGAATCAATAGTAAATTGGGAGCACATGTCCTATTAAGTGCTGGTAATATAAAGAAGTTTGGGACATCATCTCTACCCGGAGGGCCCTAAGTGATAGAGAGGACAAACACAACAAAGGCTTGAATAAGGTGGCACTGATTGGTCACTATGTGGCATAGATAGAAAATATATTTGTATGGTTACTGGCATATTGACCAATAATTTTCCATTGAACTGCTGTTTCAGTTTTGTATTGCTACTCAAGGCTTGATGTTTAATTCGTCTACGCCAGTTCCAAATGTTCTATTTTTCTGGTTTTTGTTTTATTGTCATATTATTGTTTTGTTTTATATTCCTAAAGAGTTTCAAAGCAACTTGAGTACTGGGTCCATATGTTATTTTTATTTTATTTTATTTTTTTGTATTCCTAGTTCACTTTGCACAGGACATTACAGGCTGGTGCTAAATATATCTATCTCTCTATATAAATCTATATCTGCGGTAGGCATACAAGATTAGAAGTAAGGACCTTAGGCCAGGTATAGAAGGTCACCAGGGTGGAAAGCCCCTAGTGCCTAGTAACAGGCAAAACTTTGAAAATAAAGACCTCGCCCCCTGGGTACCCTTTCCTCCCCTAGCATATCACTGGTGATTCAATTCAGATCCCCTGACTTTTCATATTGCTGGTCATGAGGTTTGGATCTTTCTTTTCTCCCCGGGCATGTTGCTAGTCATGTGTATGTGTGTGGGGGGAGGGGCGGGCTGGAGAATAACTCTTAAATATTAAGCCCCCAGGATAATGAAGTTCTGACCTGAATTAGGTCTCAGTTTTGACCTAGAGACCTCAGTTGTGTTTCAGCTATAGGCTCGGAAAAGCAGTAAAACCAGACAAGCAATGGCTGATACGAGGACCAGTTCATTGACTAATGATCCCCAGTTCTAGCACTGATCAATCAGTAGAGACTAGGATCCTGAAAGGATACACCAAGAAAGCTGCTTAATGTTCTAGGAGATCCTCACCTAGGACCTTCCCTAAAATATATATATTTGTGTGTGTTTGTGTGTACATTCCATATAACAAACCAGCCATGTTATCATATATATATATATATATATATATATATCCTATATAATAAAGAGGTAATATGCAAATTGAGAGGATGCATCACTCCAACACACAACATGGTCACCCCCATGTGGACAAAGATGGCTGCCCCCATGCAGACACAAGAAAATTGGCAGGGGATGGCAGTCGAACATCCCTTGAGGGGTCCCAGATTGGAGAGGGTAGAATGCTATTTTCTTTTCATTAGCCAAAAACCAGAGATTTAGGAAGCTTAGAAATTTGATCCAACTCTAAAGAACTAAGAAATGGTGGACCATGAGAATGACTTTAGGTTTTCTCACTGCACAGAATATAGTCAAACACTGCTGCAGTTAAATATTTTACCCTTTGTTCTCTCTGCTGATCTACAATAATAATGTGCTTCGTGTTGATATTTACAGTTGAATTTCACTAATGTATTCTGATCATTGGTAGGTCATTTCAGAATACATTAGTGAAATTCAACTGTCTCATTGGCCAGTGTTGATAATGGTAACCACATGCTTCTCTGATTAACAAAATAAAAAACTGCACTTCTAGGTATATAGGATTCCTAGGGTTTGATTCTCAAGTATGAATTTCAAGATTATCCAAAAACTGGCAATGGGCCTACTATTTTGAAATTATTCTAAAGTAATGTTTAAATTCAACACCACATGCTGTTGATGGTAGTTAGTCTACATGATTAGGGCAAGTAGTTAATGTCTACAAAGTTGGATGCCACAAGGTAATTAGTTTTTTAGTCCCTAGTGCAAATGACTCTAATCCCAGGATATTCTACAAATAACAGAGGGGGCAGAATAAGAAGGTGGGGATGAACTGGTGGGATTCTATCAACATTGATAGATCATTCTATCACTGATCTATTCTTAGAAATCATTAGATATACCACATCTGCTTCAATATTTAAAGAGTGGGTGGGTTTAGGTGACCCAGGCTTTAGGACACTATGTGTTTTAGTAGAATGTACAATCATCAACAAATGTGGCATAAATCTATAACTGGGCCCTACATAAACACAAGGTTAAACTTTGTGTAATGCTGAATATGGGACTATTACATTTGTAGACAATGTACTTTATTACTTTATTCAAATACCGAATATTCACTGAAACAAATTGAAGAGTGATAGCATACAGTGAGGGACCGAAGAGGTTTATAGTTATGAATATGGAAAACACAGAGCTTATTTTTGTATTTTTACTTATCAATTATTATATTATTTTCTACACAAACACATGTAAACCTACTTTTGCTCCACCTTGTAATTAAGCCCTGTAAGTTGGGTAGTAGTAGTAAAAGAATGAGAAGAAGGTTTTAAAGTCAAAATTGTGGACAGGTAAAAATATTTCTGAATAACAATGAGAGCATGCTGTGTCCTTGTGTGTGAGTAGCAGAAGTAAAGTTGCGAGGATTTTTAGAAGTGAAGGAAAGAAACCCTGAGTTCAGCATATGTGATAGGTCATTAGCATAATGAATCATCTCACTACAGTGGCAGGTAAAGTAGTGGAAAGGTCACCCATGAATCAAATGTGGAAATTATCAAGGAATATGAGAGTATCTAGGAGGCTAGCAGTGAGAATGGGAGAAGGATGGTCAA